TAATATTAAAAAGATGAAAAAAGAATACAATGATAACGATGCTGCTACTGTTGTAGTTATGGACTCTGTAGAAAACAATCCAAAGATGTCACTCAGAAAACAGATATTACCAGATTTCATATTCAAATAATTTTAGTATACATAAAAATCTATCCATTCAGACCCGTGTTTAATCATAAATTGCTTGATGGATATGATGGTCGTCGTTTGGACTTTTGTTTAACAATGGACGAGAAACTGATTGAAAACAGACTCCTTCATCACATCTTATTTACTGACGAATCAACATTCACAACTAATGGCGTGGTTTCCTCTCAAAATTGTAGATACGGGGCTAAAGATAATCCAAGATAATCGAAGATAATTTCGATTGATAACTAAGTCAAAAATTTAAAAAAGTAAATATCTGGTGTGGCATAATGTATCATAAAATAATTGCTCCTTACTTTTTGGGAGAAAATCTTAATCAAAATTCGTATTTGGAAATTCTCAATAATTTTGTTTTGGCAGAACTAGATAGCGAAAATGTAGAGTTCAGATGTTCAGAAGAAAATTAATATTTCAACAAGTCGGATGCAGTGCACATTCCACACGTCTAGCGAGAAACACAACAAGTGAATCGGACGCTATGGACCAATATTTTGGCCTGCACGGGCACCCGACTTGTCCCCATTAGATTATTTCTTATGGGGACACCTAAAGCAAAAAGTGATTTCAAACGATTTTGACGATAACAGTGTTTTACTAAAATAAAAAATTCAGGAAGCTGTTACCAGCATAAACGAAGAAATTGTTTCGTTTGTGTAGGAATTTAAAAACAGATTAGAAAAATGTTTATTACTTGGAAGTTTACAAGTTGAATAGGAAAATTTTACATTTTGAAATTATTTGGACCCCATGCATATTCTATTACATATTTGTTTACTGCGCATGGCTTCCCGAGCTAAGCAAAACGTTTTATCACGAATAACTTTTTTTCGAAAAATCAACAATAAAGAGGGACACACTGTATATAAAAGTAGTTACTGAAGGGAGTTGTACCGTGATAAATTTGAGGTCTACGTTTTCAATAATTCTTCAGTAAATGAAAACGAAATGAGAAAAGAAAAAATACGAAAACGTTTGAAAATATCCCATCATTTCAGAAAAAGTGCCACTCTTTCTTTTTTTGTTTTGACGGGAGCAATCAGCTCTGAAAATTACGTCTTGTATACGTTTAAATCTTGAACGTGTCAAAAATTATGCCACTTTTTAAAGAGCATACTTTTTAAATCACTTTAAATGTCTTAATGTCTTAGTAGTCTTCACTGAAACAATCGCTCTCGAAAAAAAAATGTATCGTGGGAATTTCGCGGTGTTTGAACTGGGAATGCTTGTAGTATTTGCTCGTTAATTATCCAAATTACCTCGAAATGGTCTCAAATTTATCATTTTAAAATATTGACACGCTCATAACGAGTAAAAATTAAATGTCAACACAAAGGTGCGGCGCTCTGTGTATTTTCATTATTTATTAGAAAAAATGGGCGTGAGAACGAGACGGCCGCGCGCTGAAAAACGTGAAAATCGAAAGGCCAGAGAATATAACCATCGTTCCGAAAAGGTAGTGCGGATACGATGGCGCGGCGCTTATTGAACATTAGGCTATTAGATCAGCATGCCATTTAAGAAGTAATTGATTAATTCGAACAAAGCTGTACCGTAACGCTATTGTTAATTTTTTTGCCGTAAATACTGTCGCAGTTGGCGAGGTAACGGCGATTATATCTCTACTGCCCTTACAAGGTAAGGACCGAAGAACATGGTTTTGTATGGAGAGGGGACGGCATGCCATTATTTTACACAAACGCACAATGCTCATATTTTTAAGCAAATTCTTATTCACGTATACAGGGTGTTCCAAAACAGCATGTAGATATTGTAAGAGACCGTTTCCAAAGCGATTTTATGAAGAAAACTTCATATAAATATACGGTCTAAAATTCTTAGTTTTCAATGTACAGGGTGCTCAAAATTGAACTGTAAAAAATATATTTACCCCACAGAACCCAATTTAACACGCCAGTGATAATTGTTGATAACACAGTCCCACAAAAAAAATAATATCGGATCTGGTATTCAGACCATGTATTTTTTTCCGCTGAATCCGAATCTGCCTTCACATTTTGGCCCACCGGGTCTGAGTTTTCGGGAAAATTCAAAAAACAAGTCAAAATTCACAAAAAACGTCATTTACGATCAAAGCAAATTATTCTACCAGCTCACAATACGTATGATTTTTCACTCGTTTAATTCCAATTTATCATCATAGAGTCAGACAAGCTGGTCCAATTTCATTGAAAAACAGAAAATAGATCAAAATGCTTAATAACGCCATTTTCATGACATAATTCGTGTTGCAGAGTTCTAGATCCATCATCAGGATATGAAGGTTATAGCATAGCGATATCAAGAAAGATGGGATCACAACATTTTGGCCGATTTTTGTTGGTTGTTAAAAAGAGAAATGAAAAATAGAGGGACTAAACGAAAGCGTGACTTTGCATAGATCCTTTGAAGAAATGAGAACACGTTATAGCTACAAAAATTAGAATGATTTGTAGATATCGTTTTCTTTTGTTTAGAAAGTAGAGTAAAAAAATGAAACAGATACAAAACACATAAACACATCACTTTATATCACGTATTTTAAAAAGTTGTCAACGTTTCGAAAATCCATGGGTTTTCGTCCTTTTTTTGACTTATCGTTTTAGTTGCAAATTTAAACTTGTCAAAGTAACTAAAACGAAAAGTCAAAAAACTATGCCACAAATAAATAACTTCGGACAATATCTTAAAAATTTGATGCTAAATTTCATTTCATTTATACGTTTCAAAAATGTTTCAAGAAATCATTTTCATGGTTCTAACATCCTGTACATTGAAAATTAAGCATTTTCTGGGGCACATGTTTATATGAAGGTTTCTTCAAAAAAAGCGTTAGCAACTGTCCTTTAAAATATCTATCTATTGTTTTGGAAGAACACGAGGAAGATCATGTATTTTCAACCTGAAAATTCTAAAAATTTGGAGGAAGGAGACATCACCGAAAGCGGAAATTATTATCTATTCATATTTACTTAAGTATTCACAATAACGGAATTTAGGTTGATTTTAATTGCAAATAAAAATGACTGTGTTTCGAAAATAGCATAACCGAAACACCTAAACATCAATTTATTCCAATATAAAGTTTTGAAACAACTAAATGGTAAAAACAGACGTTATTAAATAGATCAAACTCTATGCTGAGGCGTCCCACTCTCTCAAGTTAGTAGATATTAATTCCTATGGTTTCGCGTTCTTGACAAATTAGTTAAATCGGTTTATGGAAGTACCCACATTCTAATAAGGAGCCCATAAATACCTTCGCGGCGAAAAATAACGGTGCATTTTTCCTATGGTTTAGTTATATAACATAATTTATATCACATTGCAAAAATATATGTTGGCATTAGCCTTCAAAAAATGTAAATTGTTAATTCAAATTTATTTATTTTTAGATATTTCAGCAAAAGCACGAATTAGATCGCGATATATTTTATTTGAATTGTTTGTAAAGGAGCGTGATCTCTGACATTTCCAAAATAATAGTAAATGAATGGTCACAATCTGTCTTTCATAAATGCTTAACTGTATGTTGTGAAAAAATATATACCAAGTAACATAATATACACGTACGGATGTTAATTGCGGTAGATATACCTACAGGGTGTGCTAATTTATTGTATACATTACATTTACATACAATTACATACAATTTTTTCATTCGCTTCGAAAATCTGTATAACTAATTGTTTACGAAATTTAATATGACGTCATTCTGCACCCCTTGGTTTTGGCCTACTGCGATTTTTATTATCACTTACTAATACCTACTAATTGCGCAAACAACCGTAAATTGTTCGTGCAAATTGCTCTTTCGATATTAATCTAGAAAAAAAAAGGTAAATAAAATAATAAACTTGTTATTGAAATAAATAAAAGTATTCCATACTGAATATGTCAGGCAGGTAGATAAATACTGGGGATTTTGAGGGGTATAAAATAACGTCGTTATTATTTAAAAAAATATATAGCAGGTTTGGCATTTGCATTTTTAAGTTATACCCAGCTTCAAAATATATTAGTCTATTTAAAAAAAATATTTGACCTTCATTTGTTCTTTTATTTACTGGTATTAATGGCCTGTTCACCTATAAATAGAGACACCCCCACGTGTATACAGGGTATAATATAACACCGGAACAACTACATTTAAAATGCATTTTTACATTAGCTACTAATATTTACGGTCTATAAATAATTCGTACTTACAGTCATTTCTATAATTAAATAAATTAATGCCTAAAAAATGAAATATACAACACATTTATGCATTTAATTTGTCTAGGTTCAATGTTCGTAGCAAAGTTTTTCCAGGAAAAGAAAATCATTAATTGTAAAGCTATAATTATATTCATAACACCCACTATAACACTTAAAATAGGTGTAATAAAGGTTGATTATATTCACGAGTTAACAGACGGCATTTCCGTAAGATTCAACTGCATACTATTCAGTTGTATTGCGTTTTTCAAAATCACATAACATTGCACAAAAAAAATAATTAGATGCTTCATTTACTACCTACATAACAATAGCAACGAACCAATAATTTATAAGAAATAATTTAATTTTTCGTTGTTAATAGTCACAAAACCTAAAAGCTCAAATTAAATTATTGCTGTGATGTAATTTCATATTTTGCTTAGGTTTTTTAAATAAAAAACTAGGTACTTCATAATGGCAGATAAATATTGGAATTAATTTTATTAAATTCGACAAAAAAGGAGAGATCTGAATTTAATTTTTGCGTAAGAAAAACAATAATTACTATACAATAATCATTGCAGAATTTTACGCAAAACATCATTTGCCGGCTCCAGATCGTAAACAAACAACGATCGCAAGAAACTCACCCATATTAATCCTGATAAAAAGCAGCAAATCCGTTCCGACCAAAAAACCCACAACAAAAACACTGGATGAGAAAAAACCACAACTGTCAAAACAGCAATACAACACCCAACCACTAGTCGGCGTGAAAACTCGCAACCTCTCTATACCGTGCGCTTGCGACGACTGGATGGAATCGCTCGCGATCCGTCGATAGCTTTTAAGCCCCACTCCACCATTGAGGCCCTAGCGTAGTATTTTCCCCGGCGCGAACATCGTAGTAGAGCGGTGCCGTCTTGGGGGTTCACCAAACGCGAGGATGCGGGACGATGCGCGACGCATTTGCCGCTGCCCTGGAACAGGGTCTCTGTTTTTTGGCCAATGACGGAAGAGATGCGGCCCGGCTGGGGGGAGGTGGGCGGAGTAAAATTTTGATTTGTTCCATTCTCAATGAGAGTAATTTCGGAATTGCGGTAATTTTTGGGTTGCCGGGGCTGCCGGTTGTCATCTTAATTCGATCGCCCCTTAACGCATCTGATGATGTCGGCGATAAATACGAAACTTTTTTTTGGTTAGATGTTCTGTTAAGTAAATCGCTAAAATATCGATAAAAGTTTGATACAGAAAGCAGTGAGGAGAAAGTAGCTAAATCGTACCACTTTTAAGGTGTTTTTGTCTTAATACTATAATATATTTCAGTAAAAACTAATTAAACAATGAAAACTTGTTTCTACAGAAACATTTTTTAAATTTCTGAAATTTTTAACTTTTTGAGTAATCATGCCAAAAAAATTATATTTATTTTTAAAGCTTTGGCACATTTTATCATATTAGTTGTCTAAATTGTAACTAACCAAGGAATATGTACTGCTATACAGACAGGAAGGTATGTGCAAAGCTGAAATTAACGATTATCATATAAATAATTTATTTAAGCATTTATTAATTTATAAGCATGTCAAAAATACTTCACGATTGACTCTATTATTGTGGTCTTCCATTTTCAATCAGTCACAATTGTAATAAGTTATAAAAAATGTATTACTTTTATTGCAGGAAATTCTACAATTTATATCTCTTTGTTTGTAGTAGAATATATTGAGAGAAGTATGTATGTAGGTATATATTGTGAAAATATTTATTAACACATATTTTATTACAATGTTCTGTAGGTATCTATTTAAAATATTTTTTGTAGAAAATTTCCAAAGAATATTGAGATAGATCTCACTTCGAAAGGTGCAGTAAGAGTTCTTTATCTTTTTGACCATGTTGAGTGATGACCAAACAACTTGCAATAAATAAATCTGCTTAAAAAAATCGAAGATATCAATATGGTGTCAAAATATTTTATTTGTTGACACTTGTCAGCTGGACTAAGTATATTAATAATTGTAAACACATAAGATGTTGTAATTATGTTTAACAATTAATTCCTTATTCATTTTTTGGCTGCTTCTGTTTTATTTTAAGATTGTCCTATATTTTCTTCCTATACAATGTGTGTTGCTTCTGCAACTTTAATTAATGTAATCATTGTTTAAACAAAATTTATATAACTAGATCTATAGAGGGACATTTAAACTGGATTTAACTAAATCCCCTAACAATCAATGAATTATCTCGTAGGTATTTTAGCAACCAAACTAGATTTAGTTATATCCTAATTAAACCTAATTAAAATTCATCTGAGAAACTGACCGTAAAAGCATGTAATAATGTACTGTACTGTACATTTTTAGAAAATTTGCAAACATCTACAGAATTATTTTAAAAATTTTTGACAGTTTTGTGGTAGCAAAAACTGTAATGTGATTTTTCCTAGAAAATTTATGAAATTTTGATATTTATTAACATAAAATTTAATACAATTACTTATGTGTATCTTATGGCAAAATAAAAAGTGAATACATTTAACAAAATTGTAGTAAAATTAAATATTTTAAAGAAAACTTGTCGATAATGTGGGACAGAAATTGTAGTTAGTAGTATTTTTTATATAAATTATAGTCAACGGTACTGCAATTATGCAAATTTTTAATGCAATAATCTAGCAGTTAAAAAATAATACGCACAATTTGTAGGATTCGCGAGTTAAAAATATGAAACATCACCCAAGTAAGTGTTTTTTTTTTTCAGTTTCATCTTCTACTCTGCAGAATACGTAATTATGGTTTTTGTCAGCCGTAAAGCATTTGCAATTATCATGGAAACTACGTTAATTATTACCGCATGGTATATTAGTCTACAAAACAATTATTATGGATATACTGTGACATTTGCACATACTCAAAAATGCTTAATAGGTATAGAAAGCGAAAAAAAATTACTTGCAGTCTCATTCAGCGCGTCGCAGATGGTTCTGGAAATGCAAAAATTTCGAATAATTTATAGCGGTCAATTTAGGCGGTAATATACGGTTTATGTTACCACAATAACTATTTTAAATATAAAAGTTTTTTATTGTTCGATTTTGACCGCTTTTCTTTAACAATATAGAAAACACCAGAAACTGTACTTTTGTCATATTTTATTTTTACTAATTAAGGCCTGCTAAGAAGATGAGCTGCACTTTAATAACAGTTATAATTAGCTATTATTTCGTAGAGTATAAACAACGTTGTATGTTGTATACCAGTTATACAATCATTTAATGAAGAATATGGTTTATAGTCACTATATCATTATGTTAGCAATATTCATCTGTTTATCAGTCACATATATAGTATACAATGTTCTTTGGCATTTAGAATTTTAATAAAGAATAAAGCGCATTTCTTTCAGTGAAAGTATTCAAATTTTTGACCACCAAACCACCAGAGAATCAGTCATTCAAGTATATTTAGTCATTTGTCTCATCTTTTTTTAATATTATTTGGTGTTGTCCTTTAATAATTAGGGCTCGCATTCTTTATTAATTAACTATAAAAAAAGCATTTTCAAAATCGTCAAACAATATTGTTAACTGTCTGTGTTTTGTCTGTTAAATATTTGTAAAAAATATAAAAATAATAATAATAATAAAATATATTTTCTAATAGACAGTTTTACACTGTATAAGAATATGCCACACATAACATAAACTCAATTAAATAAATTAGCATCACATTAGATTACATATAGTTCACATAAAAAACAAAATCGCAATCCATTAAAATTTGAAATAGGTACTCATCCAAAGAATACAGACACATATCAATTAGGTACGATTTTAGTTTCTTTTTAAAAAGTTCAGCTGTACAACTAACAGGTCTTTAGGTAATTTATTAAATACTTTAAGGCCCAGACAGTTTCGTGATTTCATGGCGAGTTGCAGTCTCATAAATGGTACCTAGGTATATGGTATTCATTTTTTTTTTCGTGTATTAATTTCATGAATTTCCATTTGGTATAAAATTGAGATTTATTGTTAAATACATAATTACACAAAGCAAATATGAAAAGATCAGGTAGAGTTAGAATAAAATAGTTTTTAAAAATGTCTCTACATGAACGTGAACTGGAAACATTAAAATTACATCTTAGTACCTTTTATGAAATATAAACACAACAAAAGACATAACAGGCCCACCTCAGAAACAGACACCATAATTTATTCTACTGCCAACCTGTGCATGATACAGACTTATAAGTTGCTTAGTTACAAGCACAATACGCAAATTTCGGAATAAATAACAGATTGAATTCAGTTTTGGACAAAGATTTGAACAATGAGGCTTTCAGGACAAATTACTGTCAAATTCAATTCTGTATCTCATTGTTAATAGAAATGTCATTTATATTTAGGTTTAATTTAGTAGTTGCACATTGACGATTATGAAATGAGACCGCATGAGTTTATCACATTAAATTTAAGATTATTTTGACAGAACCATGTACACAATTTTATCAAGTACATATAAACATTACATTTGGTCTCTATGTCATAAGAAAACTTATCAGAAATTAAAAGGGAAGTATCGTCGGCATATATAGTAAAATGAATATTAGAAGCAATGGTTGTTATGTCATTAATATACCAAAGGAACAACATAGATCCCAACACGGAACCCTGTGGTACATCCATGGTTATACTCTGTGTTCTAGAATTTATGTGTTGAACACAGAGAAGAATCTTTATGTTTAAGACTAACATATTGACTCCGGTTATTCAAAAATGAACGTATCCACCTTGACCTGCAGTCAGTAAACCTTTGTATATAATATAAATATGTTTTAATGAAACATGTTTTGCAACAAAACGCACCATTAGAGGCAGAAATCACATACACATTTTGCAGAAATAATCAAAACATGTTGAAAACATATTTGGTAAATTCTATATGCATTTTAGTTTTAATTATTATTAATATCATTTAATCAATGTACACATTTTTTTATCTAAACTGATTTGCCGCTATGAAGAATTATGTGAAGTTTTATTAAAAGCATTTTATTAAACCTACATAATTATTTACAAGTGCACAAGTGTTTGGTTAAACTCGAAATAATGAATAAGCGGAAAATCTGATTAATTTTATAATGCAACTTGTATGTTACTCGTTGCTGCAATAATCATTTAACAAATCAAAAGAGTTAAAACAAAACATCTAACTAAAACTTACCGGTAACTGGAATTTGTTTGGTAATAATTAAGGGAATTAATTCCCGATTCAGCCATCCAGTCCTATTATAGAGTACATGAACCATAAATATTAAGAAGGTGGGATGGAAACGTCGAATACCTATGCCCTTTTTTGGCGAGTTTTGTTCTTAAATTTGAAACTGTGACTCAAAAGTAGTTTTTATATGGCTGAGATAAGATGCCCAAGCTCTAGAGATTCGTTTCTAAAGCGGTCACAATTTTTTAAGAGCTCTGTTGCACCGTTTTATCATTGAAATTGATATTTCGAATTGTTTCTCAAATTTCAATGCTTTTATAATTATATTAAAGGATTGTGCTAACGCAATATTAAAGTAACTCTTCAATATTTTGTATTACGATACTTTTATACTAGGTATATTTTAGATATTTATAGATATTCAATATACTGAAGTTGTATCAATCACAGATGTAAGTTTTGCAAAGAAGAAATTGTTGGACGGTTTACTTTTATTTTCAATGTGTATCAATGTGTAAAGGTAGATACAATTTAATAGCAAAGAGGAGAATGCTTATTATGAATACACCATACC